ATGGATTTTAAATGTTCTCAACACACAGAAAGATAAGTTTGTAAAGTTGTGAAGTGACGAATATGTTAACTACCCCAATCTGCTCTTTCCAACTGTACCTCATAAATGTATATAATTGTTATGTGTCAATTAAAAATGAAAATTAAAAAAGGATTTCAAATCTTTGAGATACCCTTTAATTGATTTAAACCACCCTTTTAGTATGCGGCATGGGAAATAGGGAGAATACATTCCTCATTCTGTTTGTTTAGTTTTTTTCCCCCTTATCCTATTTCTCACATTTCTATCAGCTGTCCACAAGTGGTATTTTCATTTATGTTTTTCTAAATAGTGGAAACCCCAAACATTTAATTGATAAAATTTCCTGAAAATTCAGAAGACCAATTAAGAATAGAAAGATAAAAAGATGTTTCTCTTTGAAACTCTGCAAGCAGCCAGGGCGCAAACACAATCAAGGCTGTATTTTGTGCCACAAAGAACTATCTTGTCTTGAGCTCCTTCTTTGCACTCCTGTACCTAGCCAGTGATTGAGAGCTAGCTGTACATTCTACACTTTTAAATAACTTGGAACCATGTAGTTTCCTTTTCATTTCCACCGGTGTCCCCTTTTGTTCAGACACCATCACTTCTTGCCTATGCTATTGTAATAAGTTTTAGTTTTTCTGCCTCTGTTTTGTTCAAATTAAAGTTGCAAAATTAGCCTTTTGAGAGCACAACTGTTTGCCAGGCTTCCTAGCATTGTTAGACAAACTTTCTATACTCTGAATTCTGCATATTTCTTCAGCTCTACCTTATGCTCATCTGTAAAACCTGGCCTAATACCGCTCTTTAGTTAGGAAAAGAGTCAAGACTTGCTTGGCACTTCTTTCAGAAGTACTCACTATCATGTTGCTATTTTCTTTTTCAGACTTATTCTGCTTTTTCCCACCTTATTCTCTAAATTCAAGTAATGAAGAACTACCCTGTGGTCCCCTAACTTCATTGCTCTTTGTTGCCTCTGAGTTCTCACATGTGTTCCTCTCATGGAAAATCTGTTTGGGCTACATTTCCCAGAAAAGTGGCTGTTGGTGGCCCAACAATATCAACATAAAGAATTTTATTCTCTCATTTAATAGATCAGAAGAGAGGTGGTTCAAATCAGTGAAGTGATCAAGGAAACTGAAATGATATTTCTGTAATTTTCTCACCTTACTCTCTGGGTCACAAAGTGACTGTGGCAGTTTTAGGCATACTTAATGCCTGAACATGCCAGCATCGTAATATGGAAAGAATGGTCAGAAACACAGGCTTTCACATCATAATTCTGTATCATTTTACATGGGGATAAAAGAAGGCCTTAGGTATAATATATTGGCCTTACATCAGGTAACCTAATGATGCCTGCTACACTCAGCATGGAATACTACTCCTTTTGGGCTCCCATTTTTTTTTTTTTTTTTTTACATGAAGATTCAATGCATAGTCCATTTCCTCTGAAAGTCTTTCTTTGATCCTGCAGGGAGTTCCTTGGTGGCAAGAGATTGAGCCTTTTTTCCCTGGGGCCCTCACTGTTTGGCATAGGGTGGATGATCTAAAAATGCTTATTTGATAATTGACAAGGAAAAAGAAAACTGAGCCAAACTCCCTTGTGAAAATTTTTTTGCAAACAAAGCAAGCTAGAGTCCTCTGTTCAAATTTCATGCTTTATCCTACTGACCCATCTTCTTTCTCAGTCTCTTCCTCTAGGATGCCCATTCTTTTAAACTTTTAGAATTGGTGCAACAAAGTTTATTAATCAATTATACCCTGATTCATATTATTCACAATAGTACATGCATTTTATTTATTTTCCCTAAGACATTGATATTTCTTGAGGGCATTTTAAACTCAGAATCAAACACAATGCTGAATCCATAGTATTTAGTCAGTAAAGCTCAATACGTTTTTAAAGGAGCATTTCCTTGAATGCACATTCTATCTTCCAGAACTCTACACATGAGGTGTGAGTATATTTGCTTTGTTTGCATTGGTCACTGAAGCTCTTGGGTTGTCTAAGATGATGGGTTTTCCTAAATGAAGGGTAGAATAACATCTCATTTTTGTTATTTTCAGATCTTTGGCCCAGGCATTGGGGTAATCGCTACATCCAAAGGAGCAGAGATTGCACTGTCTATGGCTGTTCACCTAAAACAAGTCACAGCCACCATACTTATAAATGGGCCAACCTCCATTTATGGCTTTCCACATGTATACCGTGGTCATACCTATCAGCCTATACCCTATTCTATACAGTTTCTATCCACCAATGCTTTGGGGTTTATAGAGTTTCATGGCATTTATAAGGAAATTGGAGTTGAGGCCAGCCAGTCTTTTCTTCCCATTGAAAAGGCCCATGGGCACTTCCTCTTCATTGTGGGAGAAGATGATAAAAATACCAATAGCAAAGAACAAGCTAATAAAGCCACAGAATGGTTAAAGAGACATGGGAAGAACAACTGGACCCTGCTATCTTATTCTGGGGCAGGCCATTTGATAGAGCCTCCCTACTCTCCCCTGTGCTGGGCGTCAAAGAACCCCAATGTTTACACACCTCTCCACTGGGGAGGAGAGGTTATTGCACATGCAGCTGCACAGGAACATTCTTGGAAGGAGATCCAGAAATTTCTCAGGAAGCATCTCATTCCAGTGGTGACCAGTCAACTTTGAGAAGACTACATATTCCTGGGAAATAGAGAAGAAAATCTCTTCATTAGCATCTCTTGATTTTCATAGAGGAAGACCTTTGATCTCTTACTGTTAAGAGGGAAGTTGTAACCAAAAAAAAAAAAAAAAAAAAGGGCAGGAGGAGTGGGAATGGTAAAGTCTTAATTTTTGAAAGGGAAATGGTTTCCACTGAACCAAATATTATACACTGAGAATCTCTTATTTGTAGAAATAATCTATGCCTCTACCTGCCCTGAAATAGTCATCATTTTAGCAATTCTCAATCATAGCAATTGTCAAGGGAAAATTTACCAACAATGAACCACAGATATGAAGAACAGATATGAAAAGAATCAGATGCTGACATCTATTTCCTAAAACTCAAATATTTGTAGATCCCTCATAGCTCATTAAAAATATACTCATAGCTCATTGTTGCTTTGTTGTTATTGGGAGGCTCGAGCCAGATAAAGAATGTGTTATTTTAAGGCAATGTGAAAGTTTATTATGGATGTAAGATCATTGAATCAGTCTACAATCAAAAATTCAACAAAAATTAATGAAATTAAATAAAATTATTTTTGTGTCTGAACATGTACAGCATGTTGGCATTCTCAACAATGAGAAAGCAGAAATTTGAGATTCATAGACTTGCAATTCAGGGAGGTAGCCATAATAATGGGGATTGTATGTCTCTAGATTAGGGTCTGGCAGACTTTTCCTGTAAAGTAACCAGATGGTAAATATCTTCAGCTTTGTGAACCATAAGGTCTCTGTTACTATTCCTTAGCTCTATTACAGCACAAAAACTGTAATAGCCATAGGTAACTGTGTAATGAATGATGGTGACTTTATTCCAATTAAATTTTATTTATGGACATTGAAATTTGTGTTTCTTATCATTTGTACATATTTCAAAGTAGCAATTTTCTTTTTATTCTTTTCTCCAAGCACTTATAGATGTGAAAACCATTCTTAAATCCAGCAGCACCACACAAATAGGCTGTAGGCCACATATGACTCCCAGGACATAATTGGATGACCCTGGGTATAGCATAATCCAAATGACCTTGTCCAGGGTCAGATTTGCTGTGTGTTCTCTAGAGGGAAAACCATAGTCCCACTATTCCCAAGCTACCTAATTGCAGTGAATAGAAGGTGATTCGTGGCTAATCAAGGCGAATATGACCAAGCAGAAATGTATTTTAGATGATTTTGTAGGTATGATGGGTAGCCAATGAGAAATTAGAATAACAGAAGTAAAATGAGGATGCTTTAGTTGTGTCTGCCTAAACTCCTTTCCATTTGTGTGCTTTCTGATACTTTCTTTGTTTAGAATAAAATAATCCTATTTGGTTTAAGTAGAACAAATAGCTCTTTCCTCTCTCACTCAGAGAAGTGGTCACATTTCACATATTTGAAAACCTCATATTGAGTATGATAATCTTGCAGTTGCATATTGAATAGCTTACATGACTCTTAAATTTGTGCATTTGTATGTTCAGATAAATAGGTGTGAACTCTGATGCCAATTCTTTACATAAGTGTATTGATGTTGATATCACTTTGAGAGTGACATAATAATGTTATTGATAGCAATTTATATGATGAAATTAAATAATTTCTGTAATAATGATAATTTCTCAAAAACTATTTTATAAATTTATGACTTATTACTAATTTAAGTATTACTTTAAGAAATGGACTGGGCGCGATGGTGCATGCCTGTAATCCCAGGTTGTGGAGCCTGAGGCAAGAGGATCGCAAGTTCAAAGCCGGCCTCATCAACTTAGTGAGGCCCCAAACAACTCAGCGAGATCCTGTCTTTAAATAAAATATTTAAAAAGGCTGGGGATGTGGCTCAGTGGTTAAGCACCCCTGGGTTCAAGCCCCAGTACCCCTCACACCCCCAAAAAACTACATGCACACAAAGAAATGTGTTTATTTGTTATTTCAATGTCTTTGTCCTCTTCAAAGCAAAATTGCTCCAAATTAAAATGAATAAATCAAATCTCTAATGATCCATTGAAAGATGTCTGTCGAGAGAACAGAAATTATGTGAAAATCTTGGTCATAACAACACAATCAGTGATTTTGCTAAATGATGCCACAGGATGAATATGTAATGATTTATTAATTATGAGTGTCTTTATTACTTATTTGAAACACTGCTGGCCTGTCAAAAGAATACCTAGACATGTACTATAATAATACTATGGAGTTATTTTTTGATATTTTAAGACTTCTGGTGATAGAAATATTATAATTTTACAAATAATTTTTTTGTCATTATGAAGGTGTATTTCAGGTAGGAAGATAGAACATATTTTACTGAATTGTTTGTTCTTTTGGTTTATTCATGTTAAATAGGTAAAATACTGTATGTAGATCTTCATTTTTACTTTTGCTCCACAAATGTAGGGAATGGATTTATACATTACATATGCCTATTGCTGAGGAGTCTCCCTAAAATTCATATGTTGAAATCCATCCTCCAAGGTTCAGAGATGGGGCATTTGGGGAAGTGATTAAGTCGTGCCCTCACAGTGGGATTAATGCTTTATAAAAGAGGTTGAAGGGAGCTGTATTGCCTCTTCTACCACATGAGGATGCAGCTACAAAATGTGTCTATGCATTCATCTATGAATGACCCCTTATCAGTCACCAAATCTGCCAGCACCTCGATCTTACACCTCCCAATCTCCAGAACTGTGAGCAATATATTTCTATTATTTATAAATTACCTATCGTAAGGTATTTTATTATAGTAGCAAGAATAGACTAAGACAGACATCAGTACCAAGAAGTAGAGCATTATCAGAACAAATACCTAAAAATGTATAAGTAGCTTTGGAACAAAGTAATGGGTAAAGGCTGGAATAGTTTGAGGTACAATGCCATGAAAGGGACTTTACAGGTGATTCTGGTGAAGGCTCAGCAAAGAAGAGAGCTATAGGGATTGCTTCAATCTTAGAAATTACCTGAGAACTCATAGTTAGAGCGTAATTGGAAATATGGATGATAAAAATCATTCTGATGAGGTTTCACATGGAAATGAGGAATATTGTTATTGGAAACTAGAAGAAAGGCAATCCATGTTTTAAAATGGCAAAGAACTTGGCTGAATTGTGTTCAACTTATAAGTGATGAAAATAGATATTTGATAGAAGAAATCTCTAAGCAAAGTGCTAAGGGTGTGGCATTGTTTTTCTTGACTGCCTACAGTAAAATGTGAGAGGAGATAAATAAATGGAAGGTAGAATTTATAATTGGAAGAGAAGCAAAACTTAAAGATTTGGAAAATCCTCAATGTGGCTGTGTTCTAAAGCCTGAAAAAGCAGCCCAGGAGAAAACACCAGGCTGTGGTAAGTAATTGTTTGACAAGGAGATATGATTGAGTCAATTTTTTTTTTTGCTGCTGTGATAAAAGGATGGAACCAGAACAACTGTTAGAGGAGAAAAGGTTTATTTAGGGGCTCACAGTTTCAGAGGTCTCAATCCATAGGCAGCAGGCTCAATTCCTCAGGGCTCGAAGTGAGACAGAACATCACAGTAAAAGAGTGTGGCAGAGGGAACCAGCTCATATGATAATCAGGAAGCAGAAAGAGACTCTACTCTCCAAATACAAAATATATACGCCATAATCATGCCCCCAATGAACCACTTCTTCCATCCACACCCCACCTGCCTCCAGTTACCACTCAGTTAATCCCATAAAGGATTAATTTACTGATTAAGTTAAGGCTATAACCCAATCATTTCTCCTCCAAACCTTCTTGCGTTTTCTCACACGTGGCTTTGGGGGTCATCTCACATCCAAACCATAAGAGTATAGTTATGCAGACACCAGGTGCTATCTACCCTGACAATGGATTAATGCTGTCCCTCTCATCACAGGTCCAGAATGCTAAGGCCTAGGGACAGAAGATGTCAAAAGAGGGCCCTCAGGTATTCCTGGAACCTTGGTGCCAGGACATCTCAAGTCTCCCATTTCCTCTATTCTGGTGCAGTGCTCCTCAGCAATCAGGTGTGGTTTAAGTGGGCTAAGGTTTGAGTTGGTCACCCCTCTGGTAAGCACAGATGATAAACATTGTTGATGCCCATGAAGTACCACCTTCATCAAGGTGCCGAGTACATGAGCTTTGACAGCATGGTTACCTGCACCTGGATTTCAAAGGATGCCCCAGAGAACCTCAGCCCAGGCAGAGAACTGCCACAGGGGCAGAATTATCACAGACAGCTCTCAGGTCAATGTCCAGTGGAGCTATAAGGGTGAGAGCTACCATACAGAGTGATGCCTAGCAGAGCTGTGGGGACAGGGCTCACCTCTATGACTGTAGACCGGTAAGCCATCGAGAAGCAGTTCCAGTCTGGGAGAGCCACAGTCGAAAGACCCAGTATTGTAGAGCTGCTCTGTGGGTTTCTCTCAGCAAAGCCATGAGGGCAGTGTGTGTGGAATGTGGAACAATGAGGCAAGATTATCCTGGAGCTGTAAGATTTAATGTTTGCCCTATTATATTTGGGGTTTAGTTGGAACCTATTATCTCTTCTTTCTTACTTCCTTTTGGAAAGGAAATCCCTGCCCTGTGCCTGTTCTACCATTATATTGGAAACACATAACTAGTTTGACTTCAGAGTCCCAATGATGAAGGGGCATTTGCTTCAGGATGAATCATACTTTTAAGTCTTATATCTATCCAATTTAGATGAGACTTTAGATTTTGAGTTGGTGCTGGAACTTTTGAGTTAGCTTTGGGGATACAGGAATGGAATGAATGTATTTTGCATGTGAGGACACAAATTTGGAGAAGTCAAGGGAAAAATTCTATGATATGAAAGTGGGCATCCCCTTAAAATTCATATGTTGAAGCCTGACCCCCAGGATGATGATACTGAGGGGTAAAGCCTCTAAAGGGAATGATGGGATTAGTGCCTTATAAGAGGATAAAGGGAGCTGCTTTGCTCTTCCACCACGTGGTAGCAATATGATGCCATTTATTAAACACACAGCAAGTTCTTATCAGACATCAAATGAAGAAAGAAAAGCATCAAGCTGCTGAAGAGAATAGAATTTCTTTTCCCTGATTAGTAATTTTATCTGTCACAGGTGAACTTTTGTTCTCTTTTAATCTTTGTTTCCTGCCTTCTCGTGTTGCTTGGTAGTTCTTAACTATCCTTCCTCCTAACAAGTCACATTCTCCCAGTATTATAGACTTGATCCCCTGCATCTTGGGAATCTGCAGGTCTGGCACCAGCTGAACTCCCTTGTTTTTATATTCAGCTTGTAATAAGGCTGCTTCCATGTTGTTGAGGGTTTCTTTCCCAATCACTTCAATGTTAATCCTGTGCGAGGCAGTCAGATTCTTGTTGCTTGTCCTCTGCTGATTTGGATCCTTTGTTGTGTTGATACCCTTCCATGGGCAGAGTCCCGCCTGGTGGTGCAAAGAAGTGGGAAATTTTAGAAAATCTATTCTATTGGATGTTGAACAGTCTCCTGTCTTCATAAAAATTCAGTTTGGCTTTTGTGTTTTCTTATTCATACTCTCAGAAATTTCGTTCTATTTTTTCTTTTACATGTCTCACTCATTCTTTCATTCATCAAATATTTAATGACCACTAAATGCAAGGTGCTATTCTGGAATGCAGAAATACAGACGTGAACAAGGTATAATTTTTGCCCTTGAGGCAGTTATAATCTATAGTAGTTTGGTCCAACAGCACATTCTCTGATGGTAGAAGTCGTCTATATACATATTGCCCAATATGCTTGCTATACATAGCTACTGGACATTTAAAATGTGGTTAGTATAAGTGAGGAACCAAGTTTTAAATTTTATTTATTTTTAATTAATTGAATTTAGCCACATGTAGCTAGTGGCTATTGGATGGAGCATAAAAGGGAGAGACAAATAAAGAAGATTTTTACAATATTATATGTTACATTTTAAATAAAATGGTTGGTTTTACCATTAAATAGATTTGGGGTTAGTTAGAAAGACCGAGGTATTAATCTCTACCTATGTAAACTAGTTGGAATCCTATTGAGAAGAAGGCCACAGAAATAGAATACAAGAAAAGTAGGAAAATGTCACATAGATGAAGCATGGTGAGAGGAGGCAAGGAGAAGAATTGAGGGCCTTGGATGTTGGAAACTTGCATAAATCATTGGAAATATTAATTGATGTGTCTTCATCCCCCACTTCCCACCCTTACATTTTGACATTTCCATTTTTCTTTGTTGTTGTTCTTCCACCCAAAGGAGGCCAGTCAATGTCCTTTGCCTCAGAAGAAGTTGGCAAGTCAAAAAGAGAAAAACGAAAGCATCTTTTCCCAGCCTTTGAGTTACAGAAAATCTAATGGCCAATATGCATTCCACAAGTCACAAATAAGTGTGGATTATTTGGTTAACACCTTATTGTTAGTGGGGTTGTTTTTTTTTTTTTTTTTCAAATTGAGGTCTTGCTGTGTTGCTTAAGCTCTCCTTGAACTTCTGGACTCAAACAATCCTCCTGCCTCAGCCTCCTCAGTAGCTTCAACTACAGGTACGTAACCACACCCTGCAGTGCTATTTTTTTTTTAATGCAATTCATTTGAATGCCTTTAGACTGGGAAGGTACTCTTTAGTTCATACTAGTCCTGTATTTCATTCGTCCCTGGAAGCTAGAGATGTAGAGATTTACTTTACAAGTCTGGCCCCTATAGGTATGTGAATTTGGTGTACCTTATAAAGCAGGTTTAGAAGAAGGCATAATGATGCATGAGCAGGGTTTCCTAGCACCAAGTCTTTCAGCATTGTAGAAGAGAAGTTGCAGGAAAATTACTTGGACTTTGGGGAAAACAAGGTACCCTGCTTTAAATTTTGTTGTTACATCTGTCACCCAGAGGAATGAGGACTTAAGACAGAAGTTATTTTGAATCTAGAAAAACAGAAAAAATTACATTTTGTGCACACATGGATTTGTGGACTATAATTTAATTTCTCTTTTCCATTATTTATCCTGTCAAACTATAAGTATCAGGATGCAACTGAGTGGTAGTACTTAAAAATTCATTTTTAAGAATGCAAATATTCCTTTTTCAATTATATTAATAGAATTTATTTAGTTCCTTATTTCCCAGAGCTTAAATAAAATTCATGTGAAGTAATTCAAAAAGGAAAGACAAAATTTTCAACCTACTATATTCTTCTCCATGGATACAATGCTCACTAATCAAGGGTGACCCCCATCTTGGATGCAAAACTAAGAATGGGCTCTATCAATTGAACATGGTGCTTTAGCATAATGCCTTAAGGGGATGATGCTGAAGAGTGGTTATGGTAAGCAATTTAAATTAACCATGAAAACAAATTTATATTGAATCAATACATTATACAGAAGTTTTGAGGCAAAGAATAATAGCCAAAAGAATGTGAATGAATTATGGGTTCCTAATGATCTCATGTTTTTGGGGAAAAGGAAACAGCAGATATTGAGGCTTATAGGAGGGATTTCAGAATGGAAAATACCTACAAAGCACTGAAATGTTGCTAAGGATTCAAGATTTTTTTTTTTTAATATTATATCTTACATCTTCCTAACATGAATGAAAGACCAAGAAGTTTGAATTAATGCCACCTTCTCTTAAGAACTTCCACAATATTGAAGTAAAATATTCATAATATTCTATTTATTCAAAATTATTCCAATGACCAAGAGTTTATGTTTATGTAAAATTGTTAGTAATACTGTTGTTGATAGGGGATCGGGTGGAAGGAGTGTTTCCTTTGCAGAAAATCACTTTTTTAAGGTTCATAAAGGCATTTTTCCCCCTTGACCATCTCCTACTTCCAGTGACCCACTTTCTACAGTAGAAAATTAGAAGTCAAGGCTCCTGTTTCTATTCCTGCCCTATCAGAGTCAGTTGATTTTCTGTAGAAGTTTTTCTGCTTGTAAATCTAAACCTCAAAGCCTTTAGTTTGCATTTCACCTAAAATAAAATCAATGACCCTTTGGAGAATCAAGCTTTAATGAGGGGTCACCTATTACTATAATTTCTTTGAAGATATTGTTGAAAAATGGTGCCCACATGTGTTTAAGTATGATAGGCGAAATTTCCCTTTTGGAAAGACCTCACTTTTTCTTTTCTTCTAAGGAACAGATAACTTTTCCTTTGAGAGCAATTAGAACAACAGAAGGATGACTGCCCTTTTTCCTTTAACTATCCATCCTTTAGTGCCAAACTTACAGTCCACCAAATGGTCTTCTTTTCATGTTCCAAGTTTTCTTTGATCTGTGTCTGTGATTCTAGTTCATATGTCCCCAGGTTCTACTTTATGTTTATTTTACTCTTCATCTGTTATCTGTAAGCAAGTTTAAATCCTTTGTGAAATGACATATAGAGGGAGGGAGGTAGAACAGAGGGAAAATGAAAGGCAGAAAATAAAAGGAGGAAAGAACTAAAATTTTCTTTATAATGGAGTAGAGTTTGAAATGACTGATCAAATATATATTGAAGTCTCTTTTACCAAATACAACATTGGCATTTATCACTCTACTGGAAAGGCATAAAAGCAGAGAAAAGCATGTGAAGTTTTATTTCCCTTAAAAAGAACATATAATGGAAATTCTGCAAAAAGCTGGAAATCTAGCAGTAGCAGGTGTGGATTACAGACTAAAGAAACTACTACTGCCATCGTAATAGGTGGTCTGTTTATGTAACTACCCCAGACGGGCATGGGGCTGGAAAGCTTGAGTGTTTTCCTGTTTTCGCTTTTCTAAGCTCTTTAACAGAAATTACCCTCCCCTGCTCACATCCTAACAAAGACCTTGTGAAACAGGTCACATGAACAGATGTTATTTCAACTGATGAATTAAAGCTCAATTTACTCAAAACCACAAAATTAAGATTTACTGGCATTACAATAAATAAGGCAGAAGGTGGTAGTGTCAGATCTAGCTTGAATTTCCAGTTCTAGCAACTACTTATGAGTTTCAGAGCATGTTACTTAACCTGCATCTTCATTTGTAAAATTAGAATAAAACAATGTTTCCCTCTCCCTCTTCCTAAAGTTCTGTGTATTTTGCACCACATCTCTAGAAGTTTAACTTTGTCAGACCTGACATCAGCCTCGAGTTGGCCTTTCCTTGGAACTTACATCTCCAGCTTGGTCTTCTTTACCACTGCAGGGCAAGAAACTCCACTTGGCCTCCACTTGCCTGCTGCCCATGTTCCAGCTAACAGCCACTCCGCAAAATGGCCTTGCAGATGAGCCAGTGCACATCCAAGTGACAGGCTTTCCCCCATCCCAGATGGTGACCCTCAAGGCCTCCCTGAAGGATGAGAAGGGGAATCTGTTCTGTCCAAAGCCTTCTATAGGGCTAATGAAGCTGGAGAGGTAGCCATGGAGCGAGATCCTGCATTAGGGGGTGATTATATAGGGATCCATGCGATGGGCCTCTTCTGGTCTCTGAAGCCTGAAAAGGCTTTCCGGAGGCTGCTCAAGAGGGATGTGATAAATGATCCCTTTAGGATCACTCTGTACCTATATGACTCTGTTTGCTTGCAAGATTCAACCACAGCTCAGCCCAGGGCCAGCCAGATGGTGCAGCACTGGTTCTTGGGCCCTGGGGTGCAGCGGAAGCAGATCAGAGAAGGTCGTGTGAGAGGAGCCCTTTTTCTCCCTCCAGGTGAGAGTAATCTTTGGTGATAAAGTAAACATTGTTGATGGGGAAAAATGTGTCTAGATAGAATTAATTTTCTCACTCTTTATATTCATGGTTCTGCTTGACCCTCTTTACTTGTGATCCCATTCTCTTCGTTGTTCTCAGGGGAAGGCCCTTTCCCAGGAATCATTGATTTGTTTGGGAACATTGGGGGTCTAGTTGAATTTTGGGCCAGTCTTTTGGCTACCCATGGCTTCGAAATATTGGCACTGGCATATTTTGCCTATGAAGACCTGCCTAAGAAACTGCTGGAGTTGGACTTGGAATATTTTGAAGAAGCTGCCAACTTTCTACTAGCTCATCCCAAGGTATTTAAAGTACTTTTCATTTTATCTTGAAAAATTACAGGGGGGAAATAATCACCAAGGTCTGCTATTTTTTTTTTAATCAGTCTGTGTAGACTTGGGTACAGCACAACTTACATTTAAATAATGATTATAATAATGACTTTGTAGGATTGTTGAGTTGATTAGCAACTAGTGTTTACTGGCATATCAATAAATGGATATATTATGATTCTTTTCAGCAGAAAAAGCCAAGTCTCCTTACATTTGAAGTGCTTGTAACTTATTCATAAGTGGCTCTTTAATGTTTTATCAGTCACTAATCTCAAATCATAAATTCTCTGGCTTGACATGTTTTCAAACTTCAGTGATTATCTCTGCATGGGGTAATGCTAGTGTAGGTCCAACTAAAGGGTCCTGAGACTAAGAACAATGTAGAAATTCAATGCTCAAATTGAAGCATATGATTAGAGCAGGAATACCAGCAAAAACTGATTTGGCTGCAACAATTAATTAGCTGAATTTAGTTAGTTTCAGAGATGGGGGTATAGAACTATATTTAAGGTAAATATCCAATGCCAGGAGCCAGGATTGCAAAAGGAATTTGAAAAGGAAGTGTCATTTTTTAACTCTTTGTGAACTATCATTGTACTAATGAAAGTGTGGCCCATGGTTCAGTGGCTCCACATCACCTTTTAGAAATGCACTCTGTCATTCCCTATTTCTGAATCAACATCTGCACATTAATAGCATCTTCAGGTGATTCTTAGGCACATTAAGTTCTGAGCACCAGAATAGTACATCTTGTAACCCAGATTTTTCTAGGAATAAAATATCAGTTGAATTATGATGTAGTTGTCTTGAGGAGATTCCAAAGGACTGATATTTTCATTAAGACTAAAAAGAATAGGAATAGATACTACCTGCTCAGGTGTCAGGGTTGACATTCTTTTAGATTGAACCATATTAACATCATTTTGTAGGTAAAAGATGTTAAAATATCAGCTCTTTCTTATGGTTCAACCTAATGGTGGTGAACAAAATAGCAGCTAAAATTCATTGAGTGGCTATTTTTTATGCTAAATACTTTATATGCACTATCCAATCTTACACTTGCAATAGTCTTCTGATGTAAATACTGTAGCTTGAGCATCCTTAATAACAAAAATCTGAAATTTGAAACTTTTTGAGCACCAACATGATGCTCAAAAAGTTATTTAGGACCATTGCAGATTTTAGATTTTCAAATCAGGGATGCTCAAACCTGTAAAGTCTATGCAAATATTCCTAACTCTGAAACATTTCTGGTCCCTAGCATTTCAGATAAGGGATGTTCTACCTGCATTAACATCATTCTCACTTTTCAGATGAGAAAGCATACTTAGATTAAGTAATATGCCCAAACTACATAGTACGGGAAAGAGTCAGTGTGACAATGGCTTTGCCCCAACCATGAAGGGGGCTTGATTCCCTAACTTGATCATTCTCTTCGATCTAACTCTGGAGAGCCTTGACTCATCTCAGGGAAAGAGGATCGATTACCATTGTCAACTTCTTTATCTTCATTGTTTGGTGAAACGTGTATGATTTTTTTCCAAGAATACTTGGATTTTCTAAAAGAATTGCTTTAAAGGAATTAAGTCCCAGATAAAATATTTTCAAGTTAATTTTTTAAATTTCAGATGTAAGTATTTGTGACAGTGAGGAAGAAATTCAATTGTAAAAAAAAATTCGATTCAGATTTAGATTCAGCAGATGAACTTCCTCCTCTGCCCCTAGAAACTATTGTGGCCAAAGGTAAATCTTTTAAACTTCCCAAATTTCAGTTATCCTATAAAAAGGACCAACTGAGACAATATGTGCATAGCACTTAGCCGAGGACCTAGCATGTACATGTTATTTAACTGGGAATTACACTTGGAATATTTGAGAGAACCTGACAAGCATCTTTTTCTAGCTGAGGACAAGGATGTAATTCTTTGAAAAGCTTAACTGCTGTGTTCTGAGGCTCAGTGTTGCTGGACTCTGAGCGCATTTATAGAACTTGACCTTTGATGAAGTTTTTATTTTTATTGTCTCATTCCATCCTCATAACAACTCTGTAATGCAGGTGAAATTGTCACCCCCACAAGACCATGAAGCTTAGAGAAGGTGAGACATTCTCCATGCCAGAAGCTGGGAGACCCGAGTGCCAGAACTCAGCCTTTTTTGACTCTTTTCATTAGGCTGTTTTATTGATCAACATGCAGCTGCTTCTTGAGTATGGGTTGTAATGGGTTTCCCTTTTGTTTTGTGCTTAAGATCCAAAGGCCAGGAATTGGCGTGATCTCCGTGTCCAAAGGTGCAGAGGTTGGGTTGGCCATGGCCTGCTATCTGAAGCAGGTGGTGGCCACCGTCTGCATCAGTGGGTCCAACACTGTTTTGGATATCCTGCTCAGATACAGGGATCTTCTTGTAATGCCCTTGCACTTCCATAGGGAGCGTATCCAGACCCATGTCTCTGGGGCTGTGCGCTTCTGGAATGGGAACAGAGACCCCCGGAATGAGCTGAACCAGCAGAGTGTGCTTCCTGTGGAAAAGGTCCAAGGTTGCATCCTCTTCATTGTAGGAGAGAATGATGAATGCGTGGATAGCCGAGCATATGCGGAACAGGCCATGGAGCAGCTGAAGAGCCAGGGCAGAAGCAGTGGAAAGATGCTGGTGTACCCTGGGGTGGGCCATCTCATAGAGCCGCCCTATGCTCCATTGTGCTTTGCATCCTGGAGTCCAGGGCTCCCCTGTCCTGTGCTCTGGGGAGGAAATCCTGTTGCCCATGCTGCAGCCCAGGAGCATTCCTGGGGAGAGATACAGAAATTCTTCAGGCAACACTTCAGAGGGACCAGAAGCAAACTCTAAGTAAAAGCTCCAGTGTGGTGAGCCGCTTCTGCCGTTTGTGCAGACTATGGTCGCCATTACAAGATGGCGCTGGCTCCGCTGTGGTCTGTGACAAACAACTCCTTATTTGGGAGAGTTGGCGCATGGTTTTTCACCACCCTATGAGAAAGCTCCACGTGGCAGCTTCGCATTGGGGCTTGAGATGCTTTATTAAGGCTGGGAGGGGCATCTGGGAGAGAGAAGAAGAAATATCAAAGGCCTGAATAAACTGGTGAAAGAAGATTCCTGAGTTGCGTCTTCCTTGCGGGCAAGGGGTCGCGACAAGTGGTGCCGAAACCCGGGAACCAGAACTTTCAGCAGTCAGGGGTGGTGCACCGGTTAGTCCCAGGTAAGTGGGATCCGTGACCAAAGCGGGGCAGCTCCTCTGTAAAGAAAGAGAGAGCATTACATTTTATTGCAGCTGCACTGTGTACTTTCGCTTTTGTTTTCTGTGTTTCTTTTGTTGTGTCATTTCGCTTTTGTTTTTTGTGCTTCTTTTGTTGTTGTGTCATGGGTGCCGCATCTTCAAGTCCGCTTCTCCTGGCCCTAGATGGCCTGTTACGTTCCAAGGGCCTGGAAGTGAAACATAGTACTTTACAGAGATTTTTACAGAAGATAGATATCGCTGCACCGTGGTTTGCATTTTCGGGCAGCCTTACTGTACCTAGTTGGGATAAATTAGGCAAAGATCTTGACTTTGCTTCTGAGCAGGGCATATTAGAGGGTGGGGTGATACCCCTTTGGAAAATGGTCCGTAGTTGCCTTACAGATGGCAGATGTCAGGAAGCACTTACTAAAGGACAGGAAGTTCTAGAGCAATTACATGAGGAGAAATCGGAGACGGCAGGAAGTGAGGTGCCTCAGGAGGATAGGAGTGTGCGGAGCGTGAAACAGGGGAGGAGACGATTGTATCCAGATCTCAGTACGCTGCGCACACCCCCATGTGAAAGTGGGTCAGAGGAAGAGGAGGATGAGGAGGAAGAGCTCGGGAGGCTGTCTCGTCAGCTAGAGAGTGTAGCTATAGGAGAAGGGAACAGAAATAAACAGGGGCTCAAGAAAAGCGATCCCCCGGATCCACCGCCGTATGGTGGGGGTGTTTCGGGGAGAGCTTTCCATGCCCAAACATGGAGGGCTGTTAACGCTGAGATGGGTCTTGCTTATCCAGTTTTTCAGGACAATAACAGGGGAAGATATCATGAGCCTTTAGACTTTAAGATAATTAAAACCTTGGCAGAATCTGTCCGCACTTATGGCATAGATGCCGCTTTCACTCTCACTCAGGTGGAGGGACTTACTAGATTTTGCATGACTCCCTCAGATTGGGCTAGTCTAGTCCGCGCTTGTGTTTCCCCAGGGAAATATTAGGAGTCCAAAGTTGGCTGTTTAATGTTTCTGGCAGTACCCAAGACTCGGAGCGAGGTAGGAGGCTTAAAATTTCTGCAAATAATTCACAATTATCTAATGCTACATTACCCTCCACAGCAGTCTGTCTCCAATCTCCGTTCCTGTTTCTTTTGGCTAATGTTACATTACAGGGGATGCTTAATTGTTCTAATATTACCTGTTATTTGTCTGAGTGTTGGAATGGCTCCTGGACTACGGCAGTGGTTATGAAAATTCCAACCTTTGTCCTGATCCCGGTTACTGCAGATCCAGAATCTTTTCCTATTGTTGAACTGATTAGAGCCCGTAGAGATTTTGGAATTACGGCAGCTATAGTGACAGCTGTGGCAGTGTCTGCTGCTGCAGCAGTTACAGCTGGAGTAGCCATGGCCAGCCAAGTACAAACTGCTGCCACTATTAATCAGGTTATTCAACAAACATCCACCATACTTGAATCTCAAAGTAGAATTAATCAACACATTTTATCTGGGATTCTAGCTGCTAATCAAAGGATAGATCTGCTTCAAGCTCAAGTTGAGGAATTGTCTGACCTAGTACATTTGGGTTGTATTGATCAACGTGCACATTTATGTATAACCTCTGTCAGATTTAATGATTCCAGAAATGCCTCCCGCATCATCGGAGAGTATCTATCCGGAACCTGGTCCATGGAAGCAGAAAACTTGATCCAGTCTCAACTAACTCAGATTGCTGTTTTGAATAGTACCCGTGTCGAACCAGTGACTTTGGGTCAATTCACCAGTTGGCTATCCTCTGCCTTTTCCTTTTTTAAGGAATGGGTGGGAGTGGGCATTTTTGGTGCAATGTGTTGCTTCGGTATGTTCCTCTGTTTGTGGTTTCTCTGTCGCCTTAAGGCCCGCAGTGCTCACGATAAGGCTATGATCACACAAGCTCTTGCAGCTTTAGAAAATGGCAACTCACCTCAAGTCTGGCTTGCGCATCTTAAACAGTAAACCTTTGACATGGTCGTTACACCCCAAGTTATTATAACATTGCACTGGGATCTACATGACTTTCCTTGGTATTCTCTTAGTGTTGGAAAGCCCTTGCACTCTGCCGGTCTTACTGCCATTGCACGCAGATGGGTTTCCACACTAGTGCTTTTCTATCGCCTTAAAGTCCGTGCCTTTCTTTCAGGGTGCTGTCAACTTGTTTGTCGTTATAAACAGCCACAGTTCAGCCTCAGCTATCCCCCTTCGTCCACCATCGTCACCATACAGGATGCGAGGCAAGGCACTGCACTTGAATGATCCTTGACGTGGACCTCAAGGAGAGCATGTCCTATTGCATGCGGGTTAGACGCGTCCACGCCCCGCCCCACGAAAAAAGGCGTCGGCTGATATGGCCTCAGATCTGGGGAAGGGCCCTCCTTAGGACTGAGCCATACTATGCAGCCACTTCTGCACAGTGGGATAGGACCTCTACTCTCGCCTGTATTGTTTTAAGAAAACAGAAAGGGGGAACTGTGGTGAGCCGCTTCTGCCGTTTGTGCAGACTATGGTCGCCATTACAAGATGGCGCTGGCTCCGCTGTGGTCTGTGACAAACAACTCTTTATTTGAGAGAGTTGGCGCATGGTTTTTCACCACCCTATGAGAAAGCTCCACGTGGCAGCTTCGCATTGGGGCTTGAGATGCTTTATTAAGGCTGGGAGGGGCATCCGAGAGGGAGAAGAAGAAATATCAAAGGCCTGAATAAACTGCTGAAAGAAGATTCCTGAGTTGCGTCTTCCTTGCGGGCAAGGGGTCGCGACACTCCAGGAAGATGGGGTGGGGAGAAGAGGCTGGAATGGGGGCAGGCCAGGGACAGAATGCGAGAAGACAGGGACGGGGGATTCTTCTGGTTTCTCTACATTTACAGCCATATTGAATCAACTGGATGGAAATTGAACAAAAATCAAAGACCAGGACACACGAATCTGAGAAGTTTAAATGTACTTTGAATTTTTGTAAATTGAATCCCAGTTTGTATTGTGATACTTTTGCAAATTGAATAATTTTTATCTACATGCCCTCCCACCCCACTTAGGGATGGCTTATATCCAGGCATTGCTAATCTTAATGTATTCCCTGAAATTTTCTGTAATTCCTGTTACTAGTAGGAATACAATTTCGAGTTGGTTTCTGACACTTGCTATGAAAGTTCTAAAACCACCATCAAGTACAGTGCTTCCTCTAGATATTCAGTAGATAATTTTTAAAATTTAAAATACCATGTTAAAGTGCAATTTTTCTCTCTATTCCATTTACTTACTACTATTTTAATCAGGAGTAATATTGAATTTAATCAAGTGCCTTTTAGCAGTTGTTGAAATTAAATGAGTTAATATATGTAGGGCTAAATAGAACAGTGCCTAGCACACAGCTATATCCATACCAGAGTTAACCATTATTAATTTCATAATGCTTTCCTCTTTCAATCTGTTAGGTGGTGAATTGCATTCATTAATAAACTAATTTTGCTTGTTAATCTAATTTTTAGTAGCTGAATTTCTCATATTGATTAACTTGAGTTCTAAAATTTCTTTTGGAGCACATCTAATCATTTGTAGTATTTCAGAATTTCATTTATATTTTCTAGATTAAATTTCAGATTACCTTTTTGACAATCAATAATTACATAATCTTTACTGTGTTTTAATAGTTTCTTTGCTTTTTTCTCTTATAATTTTTCACATAGCCCCTGTTATTTATTTGCTTTCTCTTTTCTTTTAGTCTGGCTTGATGAATGTTATGGTTTGGATCTACCATGTTCCCAAAGGCCATGTGCTGGCTTTGTTGCCAGCCTGGGGTGTTATTGGATGCTGGTAGAAAGAATATCCTATAAGGCAGCATATGGCAGATTGCCATATGGCCAAATGACCTTTGAAAACTTGAACCAAAATAAATCGTTCCTTCTTTATTTCCTCAAGTATTTTGTCAAAGCAATAAAAAGCTAAGACACCAAATATTTGTCTATTTATCTTTTGAGGAGAAGCTTTGGTTTGTATGCTGATCAGATCAAGTTAAGTGAAACTACAATTAAACAAATCAAATTAGATAGTGGGTCATTTTATGGGACAAGTGACCTGTCTCTTCAACAAGTTAATTGCGAGAGAGAGAGAGAGAGAGAGAAGTGGCAGGTCAGGTTAATGAAATTAAATTCAGAGCTATGGATGAACAAATGGATAAACCAAATGCTGTATGTGGCCATGGTTTGAACAAAGTAACTGGAAAAAGAATTTGGGGGATATTTAAAATTTTATTTTTAATTGATAAATAATAATTGCATGCATTTATGGAGTACAATGTGATGTTTTGCTATATGTATACATGGACTGCTTATACCAAACTAATTAACATACCTTTCACCTCACATACTTGTGTTTCTTTTTTCTATTGAGAACATTTAAAATCTCTTAGCAATTTTGAAATATAAATTCACTATTATTGACTATGGTCACCATGTTGTCTAAAAGATCTCAGAAACTTATTTCTCCTTCTAACTGAAACTTTGGACCCTTTGTTAAACATCTTCCCAGCCCCTACCCCCTCCCCTTAGAGTAATTTGAATATGAACTGGATATTAAATGACACTAAAAAAATGTTATGATCT